TTAAAAATAAATCTCCGGAACTGTGGCGGGAGGTTGGGAAAATTTAAGAAGATGGTAAGACAGAGCCGTGAAAGAGGAAGTCGTATTGAGGTGGAAACTTTAAGGGGTATTTTGCAGACTTTTCCCTTTCCCTGCTTTCAACATTTATTTCCACCTTTTGGTCAGAAGTACAGCTCGCGAACAAGATACTCCTTGTGTTTGATGACTCCTTTCGAACGACAATTCTTAAGAAGAACTTACATTTTCCTTGGTATCAAATTGTACAGACAATGTCTTCGGGTTAGCAGTCGGCCACTGCGTACTATGCATAGCATTTCGAACTTCTCGAGCTTCATCGATTGATTGCATCTGAAATGCACTATTTTAGCACTGCCATCATATTCCGAACTTCCAGTTTCTACGAAAGAAGAATACAGCACAAGAAGACAGTGCAACGTAAGGCACTATGGTGCGCCTAAAGACTAACTCCGCGACTGCATATAGTTGGGATGGCGGTTAGGTAAAGGAGCTATATTCACCAGCCCACCCCTCAAGGAATGAATAAGCAAAAGAAATCGTGGAGGACATCGTAAGTTTCCCCTGGCAGCTCCAGTGTTCGAGCTCTACGGACCTGCTCGTTTTCTGCCAGCAAATGGATATCCTGCCCCCTCTCCCTCACTAATCATATCATCGCGTTTATACAATCCGACAGTGAAAAATGAAGAAAACATGCTTGGAAAGTTCAGGGTAACTAGGAAGGCGTCAGAACTGCCACTCATGATGACCGCAGCGACTCAGTTATTCACTTTGAAGACAGAACGTGTAATAATCAGAGAGACTGAAAACCAGACTACTCGAACAAGGAAAGACGCCAACGAATTGCTTCCGCGCAAAGACTGCCGTGAATGAAGGGTTTAAAAGACAACCTCACCTGAACAATGCAATGACTTTTAACGCTGTCAATCCAAAAATCGACAATCTGACCACCACTTTTCATTATTTCTGCCTTCAACGCTCGATCAGTGAACGGCCTAGTGAGACCACGGATATGAATAATATCCGATTCTGGATGCCTAAAAGTAACAATTTAAGATTCTAACCTAAAAATGGGAGCGATTTTCCGTTGGTATTTTTCCTAAATACCTTGACGGGGACACTTTCCTTCTTTTTTCTCCTTTATGTTCCTGTGATGCATCCGTTTCACTTGCTAGGCGTCGTTTTTGCTTTCGAATTTCGCGCTCCTCTGACTCATCCAGTTCCAACACCTAAAAAAGCTCACAAAATACTCTTATGCAGGGATATTCACAAGTCGTTTAGAAATTGGCGCAGTTCGCAGGCGGGAGGGGGGGGGTGTCAAGTCACCAAGAGACCTGTGAAATCTTGTGAAGCTGCAATGATGCCAGCTAAACTTTGTGGACTACTTGTCAATTCTTGTAAAGAATAACTATCAACGACAACTCTCGTAAAGTAATGAATTACCATACAAATACAAGAGTAAACAGGTTTCACCAGAGTGAGACTTGTAAACCGGGAACAATGACACAGAAAGTGCAAAATGACCACCCCCCCTCCTTCGAATTCTAAAATACAGACAATGCCTACAGAGCATCTCAACATTGTGCATAGCATCTCCTCATTAAAAATTCCAAACAATCCAAGAAAAGTCCCTTTAAAGCAACCGTCTTAAATTGGCGATCGATTTCAGACGGCGACAAGTCGACGATGGTTTCGCATAAATTATTACCTACAAGTTCTCAATGCCGTGAAGCGTTGTGCACTAGACAATACTCCCATTAAGTTTCTGATACATGGAATCGGAGAAGGCAAATCTGCATGAAATACTAATTTAGTTGGCAATATGTGATGGCAGAGGGAAGGGCACGTCTAGTACAGCTCATTTGCACCCTACCATCGAGATATTAATTCATTCCCTGATCAGGTTCAATCTGAAAGGAACGCCAACGACCAGAGTTTAATCCATTAACTGTGCTAGACTTCGTTCATACTTTGCGTACGGTGGCGTTCTGAGCGTTTCGAGCGCATGACAGCGTTTTGAGCGTCTAGGAAAGCATAGGTATCAAACTAGCATTTTGAGGGTTTCGCGGGCAGTTCTGGACTTTTCGCGGGTGGCCGCTGAAAACGCTATGTCAATAGCTGTATATTCCTATCTGCCGTACGATCAAAACGTTCAAAACGCTGATGCGAAGTATGAACGCATGCTTACAGGGCTCTAGAACTCTTCGAAGGTCTGGAAGCGCTCTATGTGGGACCCTCACGTAGTAAAATCTAACATTTCTAAGAATCTTCTTAAGGGATTAGCACATAAGGTATATCGAAAGACCGAAGTGCTACTTAGAAAAAAGAAACGCTTCTTTCGATAAAAACATTCCAGCATTCTATTGCATCACGTTACTGCAACTGCAAAAAAGAACAAGAAAGTGAGGAGGGTCAAAAAGAATTTGTGCATGGAACTACAAAACTTACTTCATCCTTCGTTTCCTTATCATCAGCTTCAGCATCACCTTCGACTTCGGCCTCTCCATAGTCTAATTCTTCTAAATGATCACCACCACCGCCATCATCACCGTTTCCATTCCCATTCTCTTCCACCGGTTTTGCTGCAAAACTCACTTTTCAGGTTATATTTTACTGATGATGTAGGGTTTTCTGGATTTGCGCTCTCAATACCCCCCCCCCCAATAAAACTTGTTTAAAGCATGTGTAAACGCGCTTTAAACAAGTTTATCGGGGGGGGGGGTATTGAGAGCGTTCTCGCCTCAGATTGAATGTGTTTTGTGTTATGATTAAGATGTGTTTGTGCTTTTTTTGTAATTCCTTTTTTCCCTTTCCTATACATTCTTACCTAGTTGCACCCCATTGCTAATCCTTGCTTGCGGCTGTTGGAGCTGGGTCTCAGTAAAGTTGGCGGACCTACTAAGCTGGTATCCGGAGTCCTGTTTGATGCGTGGATGGACTTGCAGTGTTGGCGGCCACTGCCCTTCTGCCCTGATTACCCCCTCTACACCGCAGCTCTCTATTCTGTCTTCCCACTGAGTTCTATGTTGATTATCGGAGATTTTTTCTGTTTCCTTTTTTATGTGTGTCACTGTCAATAGAATGCCGATAATAATGAATCATAAACAGGTAAATCTTGTGAAAAGATATCGTAAGTTGCAGGCTAAGCACAACAGATCAGAACGCGTCAAGCGATTATCTCGCGCAAAAAAGCGACAACTCATACTTGCCGCACGCGACGCTGCGTCGGCGCTAACTGACGCTCTGTGTCCCAATCCCAGCGTTTTGAGTAGAAAAGATACTAGGCGATAGATGGTTTAATTGTGCAATGGAAAAGATTCCCATCAATGAATAAGAAACAAAGTCGCTAACCTTTGCTTTTTGATGGATCTTTCCCATGATCCTTTCCACGTTCCATCTTCTCCGTTTTCTTTTCAGGGCTGCAAGATTACGTTTTTTAGGCTACCTTCGGGCATGAACGTAAAAATATTCCTACGTTTCTGCTTTCTTCTCCTTTGCCGCGTCACTACCACGCGAATGTTGCGTACTATCACCACCTTCCGACTGTTTGTCGTCCTCAGGTTCTCTCTCAGCACTGGCAGCCCTCTCACTGAAGAAAATTGCACAGATAAAAATGGTAAAAATGATTCAGTTTGACTCGAGGGGGGGGGGGCATTTTGCTGGTACAACTGATCACTGCCAATTCCTCTTGACGGGTAAATTCCTGTAAAGCTACGCAACAGCAGGAGCTCCGCTTACAGTTGACAAGGGTCTACAGGTCTTACCAAAGTCGTGTAATTGACGGGAGCTAGCAAAAAACTAACGAAGAAGCAAAATGTCCCTCCCAAGCCGAACAGCGAAGGTTCAGCCAAAAAAATTAAAAATATCACCTTCAGTCTTGAACAATCACCCACCTTCCTTCATCATTGATTTCCTCGGCCTCAGCGGCCTGTTCTGGAGCTTTATCTTCTTTAACGGGACTTGGGGATCTCTTCTTCACTGGCGGACTTGCAGTCCTCTTCTTCGGTGGGGGGCTTGGAGACCGTTTCCTATCAGATGGACTTGCAGATCTCTTCCTGTGCGGTGGAGAGCGGGGAGACCTCTCCCTTCTCGGTGGACTTTGAGATCTTTTCTTCGCTGGTGGGCTTGATGATCTCTCCTTCTCCGTAGCAGGGTTAGGAGACTTCTCTGCTGTAGGATTACCACTTTTCTTCGGCATTTCCTCAACCTGGTCTGCCTCCTTGGAAGAGTCTTTCTCCTCAACAGGATCTTCTTTTATCTCTTCTTCAGGTTCTTCCTCCTAAACAATAGCTGTTACATAAAATTACCGCCAAATACAGCTTTCAGGGCATTTTACCTTTTCCTCTGGCTCAGGTTGCTTCTCTTCTATAGGTTGCTCTTCAACCTGTTGTTCGCTTTCACTTTCTCTTCGAAGACGTTCTGCAAGTACAAGATAGAAGCGGCACGGCTATGGTGTACAGTTACAAAAATTAGTAACAGGCTAGTACATCCCATTCGAAAAACAAACAAACACAAAGCTCGCTAGCTAATGCGTAAGTGCTCTGTCTTTCAATAATGCCTTGCTTATTGTACAGTTCACGATCAGGGAAGTCGTTGCAGGACCAGCAGCACTTTTTGCGCGCGCATGTTCGTCAGCTGAAGTGTATTCACTTCGGAGCACCTAAAACGTTGAGAAAAACCCAGCGAGAGAAGCCGTATTTGGTCTGAAGAAGTTTTTCGATGGTTGACCTGTACCGTTTCATTGGGCTAACCACATCGTTGGGAGAATACCAGTGGGCAGGGGTCGTATTTCCCGGAAGTTCTCACCAGCGGCATAGGACGTACCCTGATTTACACCGACAGGGACTTTTTATAACAGCAATACATAAGATATATAAGGGCGGCCGATATATAAATAATGATATAAAAGATCGGGTCAGGAACTACTGGCGCTGATGTAATCTGTGGGGGAGGGGGGCACGCGGGAGTGCCTCCATGTCCTCTCCCTTCTCCAGGAGCTGTATTAGTAGGGTCTACGGGGAGCTGAAACTGAACCCCTTCAAAGGGGCAAGAGGAAGAATACCTCAATTTCTCTCAGGACAATCGGCCATGTCACTATGCCTCTCCTAAGCTAGCCGCTCGAGCATTGCTTTGACTGTGCGGCTTTGGTCTCAGAGTCGTCCAATAACATGGCGCTAATCCGCACGTTCTACTGCTGTTACCGCGTATAGACATGGCGTAGTTAGCAGTTCCGCCTTGAGGGTCTATTCCTAAGAAAAATGTTTGTTCGGCTGTAAATTCTTCGAGTTTTGTTTTTCGGATGCAATTATGTACCCCCTCTTGCTTGCTCCGTGATGGGGCAGTTCTCTGGGAGAAAAAATGAGAAAATTCATCAAAAAATAAGGAATGCTGAGATTATCTCTTTCGATAGTGATGTTAGTTACTCGCGTGAGGGTTTTTGCAAAAGGTATCGGACTCCCGCCTGGACGGTAATCGACTTTGCCCATAACTCAGATTCTTGTGATAATTCGGAAAACGGCGAATTGTGGGCGTAAAAAACAGCAGTTATAAGAACAAAACAGATACTTGGATTGATTTCGGAAAAACACCGCATACGTGAACTGGAAATTGGAAAAGTGAGGGGGAATGTCAAGAGAGGGAGTTTGTAAAAGAATTTCCCGTTACCCCTTAACTGCAGTGATGGTTCCTGCTGAAATATATGTAGTGAATCGTGTAGATGTTAACATAACCAGATAGCTAACGAATATAATGGAAACAACGACAGCGAAAAACTGAGAGAACAATCAGAATTGAAATATCCAGTGGCTTTGCTCAACTGCACCCATTTAGGCGAGCGTTTGGGCACAGCACCAGCTTGCTACCATTGTCCTTTCGACATGAATTTTGTTTGATCTCCAATCACAGTCGATAGCTGACATCTTCCTCCATTTGACGCGCTATTTTACAACTACGGGGCCATCGCCCGCCTCAAAGGCAACCCGAAATACCCGATATGTTTCGGTTGACGGTTTAGCTCCCAATATATCGCGATAAGCTTATTTTGTTCTTACGACAAGCAATGACACACCTGAGAAAAATTAGAAGGGCTAGTCAAAAAAATCGATCAAATAGGAAATACCCAGGGAACGAGGGCCGTGGGGAACAAACAGATAGCCCCAGCTTCCGTTTCGCGCTCTTAGATTAAAATCAGAGACTGTTGCTGAGAAACATTAGCGGTACGAATATGGTTCGGCGTTCAAGACCAATGCATGATTGTTTGCACAGCGGCGCTCCACTGCATATTTCTGACGCTACGACCACCTACTGGACATGCCATCCAAGAATAGTTATAACCGAGAATCTCTTGTACTTGGATAAGATGTGCAATTATTTGCAGAATTGCACGCCGCTTGCTCCTCACCCTACATAATTCCTCACATATCGCTGCATATTTCACGTCTGATTTTTTTCGACACAGTTCGTTGAAAGACGCAACAACAGGTAGTCAGCAGAACTTGTACAAGTAGATTACTGTGAACAAAGTGGCCTACCTGGATAACCTCGCAACTTCAAAGGAGTTTACAGGTCTGACCCAATTGAGACCTGGTAGTTAATATGAACCAATAAAGAAATCTAGAGAAAGAGCAAAACGCCTCCTCCAAGCCGAACAGCGCCTACTCTCTTTCTCTTTTCTTCTCTTTTCCTTCACATGTATCAGGTGTTAGTGCTACTGGCAGTGATCTTTCTTCTCTTTTTTTCTTCTTTTATGCCCATACTATGAGGTCAAAAAACAAATATTCAATGTCTGCATCAACACAGATCTTCATTCAACAGCTCGAAAATATTTGCCCACAACTCGTCTGGGGCTGCGTCCATACTTCACGCCTGCATTTTAAGCGTTTCGAGTGTACTGCAGTAATTGAGTGACTAGGAAAGCATAGGTACCGATCGGGCGTTCTGAGCGTGCGCCAGCGCTTTTAGAACCTCCCGTGAAATATTCAAACCTACTCTCGCAACGCTGGCTTGCGCTCAGAACGCTAACGCAAAGTATAAACGCAGCCTAACAGTTGGGGGCATTTATGCCTAGCGACTCGAGAAAATGAGAATCGCGCCTTGACTTTTGAGCGATGCCGGAAAGTACAGATAACACCTGGCGACTCGATAGAACTGAAGACTTGGCGAATTGAAAAAAGTCCAGTGACCGGGATTGATCGATTTCTGCCTGTTCCTTTAGCGCGCAACTTCTGAACCGTCAAATCCCCCTTCTCCTTATCTCCCGGACTGTCAGAACGATGACCACTCACTGTGCTGCGCATTCTCCGAAAACCATTGCCGATACGATGAGAATTCGAGAATAGTGGGACGTGAGTCAAGCGAAGGCATGGGCTGGGTGAACAGAAGAGAGCACGATCAGAAGGATGCGCGCCGAAGGTGTACACAGAAATTGATAGACTCTAGTTGCTAGCGGAAGAGAAGCGTTATTTCCAAGTCGCAGCGAAAGACGTGCTATTTACAAGCAGGCTGCGCAGTATTCGCTGCAGGACCCAGTTAACTCATCGTGGCTGTGTTGCAGCGCGTCGACTGTCTCTGTGTCGCTCAAGTCAGTAGCTGGAGAACACCCTGCGATTCTGCCGCAATGCCACCGTCTCAGGGCACATGTCAACCGGAAAGGCTTCTCACCTCCTTCCTTTTTCTTC